TGGGCACCGCAGACTATGATATACAATGCGTTTTGTGTTCTCTTGAATTCTTGAAGCCCTTGTTCACGGAATGTGCTCGTCGAGTGCGCAAACAACCAGCACACATCCCGGGCACGGACTTGCGGTTCACGCAGCCAGCTTGGCAATAGAATGTTGCTACCGCTTGCGCCTGCCGGTCACCATGACTTGCAAGGACCAAGGACCCGAAATCATCAACGACTGCTGCGCTCGCAGATCGGTTTTGGCAAGTGCTGCGCGAGCCGTCAGCAAGAAACTTCCCTATCAGGCTCCCGATGGTGGCACCAAATCTATCGTGCGGCCTTAGGCCCATCCCGCCACAGTGATTGGGGAGGCCTCGTCGGGCCTCTTGGAATGCATCTAGGGTGCTCTTAGAGGCCTCTTTGAAGCTCATTGGGGTTTGCTGGGGACCTCTTGGAGGCTCCCTGGGCGCATCCTGGGCGCCTCTTGGGTGTCTGGAGGCGGTCTCGAGGGCGACCTTTGGGCGAAGGGACCCATTGGCCCCTTCCAGTTCCCCCTCTTGAGCATTGGGCCCGTGTTGGAGGCTTCCCGGGGGCCTCTTTCGCCCTTCTTGGGGCCTCCAGGAGAGCCCCAAGAGGCCCAAATCGTCCCATTCCCTACGGGAAACGCACAGGTTCACTATATCTGTTTTGTTCGTCCTCGCAGCGTCCGCGACGGCTATACAGGCCCCCCAGCTCGCCCCAAGACGCGCCCAGAGGCCCCGGGAGGGCCCCCAAACGGCCCCACACGGCCCCAGGACGGCTCCAGAGGCGCCCGACATGGCCCAAGACGCACCCGCCTTCTGGGGGCGATCCCGGGGGCGGGGCCCTCTGGACCATCTCGCAGTGGTGTCAGCAGCGGAGGCAATATATGATCCAGGGTCTGGCCCTCCCCCCCCCTCGTGCTGATGCCATCGGCCCCCCCCTCCCCACCCCGCGCGATGGCCCACCCCCCCCTGTGGGTATGGTGTGGTGCTGTGGGTGTGGCGTGTGTGGCGTGGTACTGTGGCGCTCCAGGAGAGCTCCGGACGTTCTCGTCGTCGCCGCCGCCGACGTCGTCGTCGTCGGAGGGCTCCGGAGGTCGGCGCCGCCGCCGCCGCAGCCGCCTCCGTCGTCGTCGTCGTCGTCGTCGCCGTTGTTGTCGTCGTCGCCGCCGCCGTCGTCGTCGTCGTTGTCGACGCCGTCGTCGCCGCCGTCGTCGTCGTCGTCGTCGTCGTCGTCGTCGTCGTCGTCGTCGTCGCCGCCGTCGTCATCGTCGTCGTCGTCGCCGCAGCTGTATTCGTCGTCGTCGTTGTCGTCGCCGTCGTCGTCGCCGTCGTCGTCGTCGTCGTCGTCGTCGTCGTCGTCCCCACCCCATCCCATCAGGGGTGGGGGTGGGGGGCCCGAGGGACCCTGAGACCCATCCTATCTTGGGGGCGTGGGGGGACCGTTGGCCCACAGCCCGGGATCATATATGCAGCGCAATGTTTGGAGCGCACTGCGTTCCGGCAAGCAGTGGGGCGCAATATATGCGGGTGATGGTGATGACGACGGCATCGGCGACGGCGGCGATGATGATAGTGGTGGTGGTGGTGGTGGTGTTGATGACGATGGTGGCGACAACGACGATGATGTTGGTGGTGATGACGATCACAGCGGCGTTGATGCTGATAACGGTGGTGATGAAGATGATGAAGTGGATGACGGTTGTGACATAGATGATGTTGGCGGTGAACGCGCACACATAAGCCATGACATATTTGGAAAACGAAACAATCGACTTATCGAACACGTCTCTCTTCCACCGAGCGCGTTCCACTACTCGCAAAGTGCCCACTCGCAAACGCCCGAAAAGCACATGTCTGCTTCAACGTAATTTCTCGTAGATCCCCCCAGCGGATCCAGGCCAGTTGCGAGCAGTCATTTTGCGTGAAGTGGAACGCGCTCGTCTAATCTCGGAGTGGCCAAGAAACCAGCGGCGGCGCAATGATGTCGGCAAGCGCTCGAGGGGGGTCGCGCGTGGCCCGCACTGTCTGATAGCATGGACTCGGCGGGCGCGCGGTGGAATGGCGGCTGATCTCCACAGGCGCGCGCGCGCACGTGTGTGGCCCGCCTGGTTTCAGTTTTGAGTCGGGCTTGTCCCTCTACAGGAGGACTATTCGAAAATGGTCCAAAACACATATTCTGGGGACGATCTTTCGATTATTGTTGACCATTTTGGAGTATTTCTTATTTTTCGTCCAAACTCCCCCCCGTAGGGGGACATGCCCGACTCAATCATATGGTTTAGGCACGTTCGCGCACGCTCAGAACCTGGATGTACTCATGAAGCACGTGGTCTGCGAATTTGTCTTGGCAAACAAAGTCTCGACCACTGGTCTCTGAATGGTGTATGCCCCGCGGGGGCGCACGCGTGTGTGGGCAGCATGGTTTTACCCGATACCGCTGCATGGAACACGCACCAGCAGAATCAGCACGGGCGCTCGCATAGTATTATGCGACAGGGATATTGGAGGGAGGTCGAAAAGAGGCATTTCTTGGGTTCAATTTTCTGTTTATCTGATTTAGCAGGAGCGGTCGTGCAGAATGGATGTGTGAACAACCAATGCGCGAAGGGGTGCTCTCAGGCCAGGCCTCGACATGGAAGCAGAGTCGAATATCTTACATCGACATGGGTGCAAGCTGTGAGCGCTTCCCCCCATACTCCCCTCGCTCGACCGCCATCGTCTTCTTTCCTTCCTCTTGCACGCCAGACGATCCGCCTTCGGGTTGCCCCGATTCACGCTGGTGCGGACTGCCTCTGCCTCGCCGCCGACGGAAAAATGCGCGGTGCAAGCTGCAGCAGGCGCCGCCCAAGAGGCCCTCCTGCCGCCCCACGGTGACATCTGACTTCCCGATGGGCCCGCAGAGCCCCCATGGGGCCCTTTTCGCGGAGCGCAGCGTCGAGCAAGAGTTCGCCCCTGGATCGATTACAGCCAGACTTCTTCTCGTTGGCCCTCGAGTGCAGCATACGTGCGTGAGACTTGCTGGTGGATCTTGCACGCAGTGGCCCTCACTGCTGCCCTGTGAAACATAGTTTCCTATTGCTGCATGTGCCTGTTGTATGAGCTTGGCCACTCCGGGCGCCCCGCTGCGGCCCCCACTGCGTCAGCGCATTCGTTCCTTGCCCTCCCTCCGCGGCCGTTCCTCTCTTCCCCCGCTCTCCCCTCTTGCATCCAGACCATTCGCAGTGCCGTCACCCAGCTTGCCCGAGCGCGCGTGCGGATTGCTTCTGCCGCGACGCGACGTAGAAAGTGTTTGCTGCACAGTCAACCCGCACAGTAAGGACGATCGACTTCCCCAAGGGTGCCCCTGCATCCATGCCTCTTCCGTCATCTTCGGTCCATCCCCAACCACCTGCGATGACCAGCCCCGCCCGAAGAGCCTCGGCATGGGCGTCCAAGGCCCTTGCATCATTACCGTGCATCCTTACGATTAGGTCGGGCATGTCCCTCCACAGGAGGAATATTCGAGAATGGTAAAAAATAGTCCTGGGACGATTTTTCGTGTTCCGTAGACTATGTTTGAGCTTTTTCATGGTTGTACTACTTTGTAGTTTTTCCTCCGAAATCAGGACATGCCCGACCCAACCTTACGATACGGATTGGCTGTAGTTTTCAGGTGAGCGACGCAAGAAAACGAGGTCGTCTTCGCCGACATTCGCGCGTAAGCTGCCCGCGTAAGGTCGCGCGTAAGCGCCCTCGTCTTCAATGTGGCGTGCCGCGTTGGTGGCCCGCGTAAGCCGGGGCGTAAACCTCGCTATGCCAGCTCGCGTGAGACCCGTTTTTCCTCCGAAATCCGCCTGTAGGAGGACATGGCCGACTTAACACGGCGGCTGGCCCCCTTGCCTGGGGGTTGGGCGCCGCCGCTGTGTTCTGCTCCGGCTTCCGGCTCCCCTTCCGCCGAGGTGAAGTGGCAGCCGTGCGACTTCTGTGGTCGTGCTTGCGAGGAGGAGGAGGAGGAGGAGGAGGAGGAGGAGGAGAAGAAGCAGGAGCAGGAGCAGAAGCAGGAGCAGGTGCAGGTGCATGGTCAAGTGGAGGACGAGGAGGACGAGGAGGAGGAGGAGGACGAGGAGAGCGAGGAGGACGAGGAGGACGAGGAGGAGGATAGGGAGGAGGAGGAGAAACAGGAGAAGGAGGAGGAGGAACAGCGAACAGCGAGCACGCATGGCGGGCGCTCCCTGGTACGATCGAAGTGGCAAGGAAAGTTAGGGGGGGTAGGTCGGGGGCAACGATAGGGGGGATAGGCATCGTGGGGGATGCTTCGATCCCCAATCGCCAATTGCTCGCCGACAGGGGCCCGCCAGCCCCAACCCGCTCGGGAAGGTGCGGTTTGGTTATCGGGGCCTATCGCCGATCTATCGAGGATGCATCGCCGATTGCATTAGTAAGAGTTCGAATGAAGAGTTCAACATACCGATGCACGATGAATGGGTGTTGGGAGGGGGCACACACATGCATACATAAATGCATGCATACCTACATACATGCATACACACAGACTTACCTTCATACTCGCATACAAGCATACATATATATACATACATAGCATAACACAACATAGTAGCACTAGATCTGGCATACCATAGCACACCATGACATATCATCGGGAAACATACCATACAAAACATGCATACGTACTCATACGTACACACACACCGACATACATACATACAAACATGCATACATGCACACACACAACAACATATGTACGTACGCACGTGCATACATACAGACATACGTGCGTACGTATATACATGCATCCATACGTTCATTCATGCAGTGGCTCATGCATTCATACGCACATACGTACATACACATATACATACACACATACACACACATGCAGGCATATATACATCGATTCACATACATATATTCATGCATCCATACATTCATACGTACATACATGCAGCATGTCATACATACATACATGCATACATGCGTATCTGCTCACACACATACATACGTACATACATGCATCCATATTATACATACGTGCACACGCCCACACACGTACATGCATGCATGTACACATACATGCACACATGCATGCACGCACGCGTAAACAAACGCCAGCCCGACGCACATACATGCATGCATGCAACACATACACATACGTAAGTATACATGCATACATACATGCATGCATACATGTACTGACACATCCATACCTACATGCTTACAGTCATACCCCCTTGTACATACATACATACACGCAGTCATACATACATACATACATGCATACATACATGCGCGCATGAATACATGCATGCATCCAAGCATGCATGCATACACCTACGCATGCATGACTACATGCATAAATACGCACATGTCCATACACATACATACATGCATGCATACATACATCTCCCTGATCACATACATATATGCATATATGCATACACACCTACGCACACACATGTATGCATACACGCATATTTATAGATATATTAAGCTATGCACACAATTACATACAGTTATACACACAAGCTTGCCTATAAACATACAGGCATGCACTCATACATATAGATTTCATGCGTGCGTGCATACATGCAGACGTACGTGTATACAGCATACACACATTCATTCAAGTATACACGCACCTACACATCCATTTGTACATACATACAGACATGCTTGCATGTATGCATATATGCATGCATGTCCCGCGCTTTCTGTGAGGGAAAATGTATACAGGTATGCGTATACACATAACCAGCTACATCCATACGTACATTCACGCATCCTCGTATACTGCATATGTATGTGTATGCACATTTACATATTAAAAGCAGATGCGCGTGTCTACGCACACGCCCATATCCTCATCTGGTTGATCAGATGTCAAGCAATGCAAAGCTTGCAAACGCGTGCTCTTCAGATGCCCGCGCGCTCAGTCAGACCAAGCGCGAGCGACTCAGACGACCCCCCCCCTACACAGATCCTACCAGAGGCGCACGCATCCTTATAAGGGGTCGCACCAGAGGCGCATCCACCCCCAAAGGGGTCGTACCTTAGGTGTCCCCATCTTCATGGGAATCCGGCCAGAAGTGTATCCATCCACGCAGGGATCGTACCAGAGGGACCTCCATCCTTATAGGGGCCGCACCAGGGGTGTATCCATCCCCATAGGGAGCGCACCAGAGGTGCACCCATCCCCGTAGGGGTTTACCAGATGTGTATCCATCCGAGTGGGGGTTATACCAGAGGCGCAACCATCCGTATACGGATCGTACCAGAGGGGCATTCCATCCCTATGTGGGGTCTTGCCATGGGGGTTTGGGGGCATAACGACACCTCGCGTTAGGGAATGAGCCTCCTCCTCCTCCTCCTCCTCCTTCCTGGGGGGCAGGGAAGGGGAAAGGAATCTCCTCCTTCTCCGCCTACTCCTCCCATTCTGAAGGAAAGGGACGGGGAAATATCATCCTCATTCGCCTCCCCCATTCTCCTCCTGATTGAAAAGGGAAGGGCATGAATCGCATCCTCTACCTCCTTCCTGAGGGAAAGGAAGGGTATGGCCCTGCTCCTCCTCATCTTCTTCCTCCTTCCGATGGAAATGGGCAGGAAAGGGACCTTCCTCTCCTCCCTGCCCTCTCTGAAGGAGAAGGATGGAAAGGAACGTCCTCCCCTTCCTCCTCCTTCTGAGGGAAAGGGGAGGGAAGGAACCTCCTCCTCCTGTTATGAAGGATCGGGAAAGGAAAGAACATGCTCCTCCCCTTCCTGATGGAAAAGGAAGGGAAGTGACCTCCTCATCCTCCTCCTCGCCCTCTTCCTCCTCATTCTCTTCCGTCTCCTTCCTGAGGGAAAAGGAAGGGACGGAACCTCTCCCCCACCCTTCTGAGGGAAAGGGAATGGAAGAAACCTCCTCATCGTCCTCCTGCTTCCACAAGGAAAGGGCAGGGACGGAAGGAAGTTCCTCCTCGTCCCTCTGAGGGAAGGGGGGCGAATGGCCTTCCTCGTCCTCCTCCATCCTTGGGGACAGGGAAGGGACGGGAACCTCCTCTGTTCTCCTGAGGGAAAGGGAAGGATCCTCCTCCTTCTTTCTTCACCCCGTCCTCCACATGAGGGAAAGGGGCGGGAAGGAGCCTCATCCTCATCCTCCTTCCTGAGGGAAAGGAAGGGAATGAGCCTCGGCATCCTCTGCCTCCTCCTTCTGATGGAAAAGGGGCAGGAAGGGGACCTCTTCCTTTCTTCTCTGAGGAAAAGGGAAGGGAAGGAACCGCCTTCCCAACCTTATCCTCCTCTTCCTCCTCCTCCTCCTCCTCCTCTTCCTCCTCCTCCTCCTCGTCCTCCTCCTCCTTTTCTCCTCCTCCTCCTCCTCCTCCTCCTCCTCCTCCTCCTCCTCCTTCTGAAGGAAACGGAAGGGAAGGAACATCCTCCTCTTGCCCTGCCTTGATGGAAAGGGGAGTGAAGGACCACCCCCCTCCTCTGTCCTGAGGGAAAACGAAGGGAAGGGGACTTCCTCCTCGTAAGGGAAAGGGAATGGAATGCGCCTCCTCATCCTCATCGTCCTTCCTGAAGGGGTGGGAAGTGAGGGGCACTGCCTCCCCCTCCTCCTCATCACCCTCCTCCTTCCTGAAGGAAAAGGAGGGATCCTAAGATAATTGAAGGTCTCCCTTTCTGGGGTCCCCTTGTGTGTGTGGGGGGGGATCAGAAATTGATTCCCTCTGTGCGAGGCAATGCACATTGTTTTCGTTTGGGGTGTTCAAATCGATTCCATTTGCGCGGGGCTACAACCAGATTCCCTTTTGTGGCGGAATTGCAAATCGATTCCCACTGTGGGGGCTGGGGTTGTGGGGGGCTACAACTTGATTGCCTTTGAAGCGGAATTGCAAAAATATGTCCTTTGTGGGGGTCTACAGGTCGATTCCCTTTGTGTGAAGGGGGTACACATTGATTCCTTTCGTGGGGGTTAAACATGGATTTCCTTTGCGGGCGGTTACACATTGATTTCCTTTGTGCTGGAATTACACATAGATTCCCTTTGTGGGGGGTTATACGTCGATTCCTTTTGTGCGAGGGGGTACACATTGATTCCTTTTGTGGCGGAGGAGGGGGGGGTCTTGCTCTGGGGGAAGGGTCCCGGCAAAAAAAGGACCCCCTGGATCCGATGGCCGTTTTTTGCCCCCCCCCCAGGGCCAGGAAAGAAAATTACCATCGGATCCAGGGGGTATGTTTTTTTTGCTGGGGCCTCTCCCCCAGGGCCAAACCCTCCCCTCCTCCGCCACAAAAGGAATCAATGTGTACGCCCTCACGCAAAGGGAATCTATGCGTAACCCCCCACAGAGGACATGTATCTGTAATCCCGCCACAACAGGAATCGATATGTAGGCCCCACATATATATATATATAGAGAGAGAGAGAGAGAGAAGCATGAGGTAAACACCGAAGAAGAGAAGACGGGTGTCCCCGCCCACATTCTTCGGGGCAAGAACACCAGGGGCACCGATATGCGCGCGCACCCATATATATATATATATATATGTAAATATGCACATGCGTCCATGTATCCACACATGTATTTATCTAGATATACATACATACATGTATAAATATATAGAGAAAGAGAGATGCATGCATGCAGACACGCATCTATGCAAACCTGTATACATATATACGTTCATGCATACACATACACAAACATACATGCATATATACACATATGCCCACACACATACATACACACATGCACACATACATACATGCATGCATGCACACATGCATATATTCATACATGTATACACATGGATGCATGCATGCATGCACATAGATACACGTCTATACATACAGCGGCGATGGCGGTGACGACGGCTGCGACTGCGACACCCGCGGCCCCCCGAGGTCACGTCTGCTGGGGCGGCGGCAGGCCCTGCAAGAGCGGAGGCGGGCGGCCTCCCCTGTTGCCTCCCTCCCGGGGGGGGCGGGGGCGGGGGCAGAGGAGGTGAGATTGTTTCGGGGGCCCCCAAACGGTGTGGTGACCACACCGTGCGGTGAGTCGGTGGGGATTCCGGGTCACCGTACGGTTTTGGGACTCGGGTCGTTCTCCGAGGATGTTTCGGGCGACTGAGGCATCCGAGGTCCCAAAAAACCGTGCGGTGACGGACCGTGCGGTGAGGTCTCTTGGGGTTCCGAGGTCACCGCACGGTCTGTCACCGCACTGTTTCGGGACTCCAAATTGTTTTGGGGCTCCGTGTCTGCCTCTCTCGCTCTCTTCCTCTGCCTCTTCTCTATCATTGCGAGAAGGGAGAGGACGACACACACACACACACACACACACTATGTATATATATACTCCGCGAGGTGAAGGGAGCGAGCCGAACAAACAAATCAATTTCAACAGATCAGCGAGCCAACGGTCTCCAAAGAGTGCCAGATTTACCCCGTACAGGGGGGTGCGGGGGTGCGGAGGTGTCGGCCTCCGTGGGCGGGGGGGGGGGGGGCGGGGAGGGGGGGAGCGGTGAGGGCCAAGGGCGAGGAGTTTTGGCCGCGGGGGCCCTCGCGAGACGACACGGGGTGAAGCACGGGCTCTCGGGTAGGAGGTCCAGACTTGACTTTCTGACTTCTTGGGGTCCACGTCGCGACAAGATCACGACGGCGTCGAGAGAGTCTGGGAGTGTCGGGGGTTGCGTGCACGCGGGCCCGCGGCTGGCTGGACGTCGGATTTGTGCAGGGGCCAGCGTCCCGCGCCTTGGTCGGGGGCCCTCAAGCGGTGTGGTGACCACACCGGGCGGTGCGTCGGTGGGGATTCGGGGTCACCCATTGCACGGGACTCGGGTCGTATTCCGAGGACGTCTCGGGCGGCCGGGATTCCGATGTCCCGAGACCATGCGGAGACGGACCGCGCGGCGGGGAGGTCATTGGGGATGCCGCGGTCACCACGGGGTCCGTCACCACACGGTTTTGGGGCCCCACATGGGCGAGGATGACGTGTTCGTTGGTTTTTGGAGGGAGAATTCGCTGGTTCTGGAAAGTCTTCCCGCATTGGGATGCTCTCCAGTAGCTGCGCCTCGTCGAGAGCTTTCGGGAGGGCCCTGCATCGTCCCGAACGCCGTCCGAGGCCCGAGGTATAACCCGGAGACCACAGGATGCGACGAGGTGCGTAGGGGGGGAGGAGGAGGAGGAGGAGGAGGAGGAGGAGGAGGAGGAGGAGGAGGAGGAGGAGGAGGAGGAGGAGGAGGAGGAGGAGGAGGAGGAGGAGGAGGAGGAGGAGGAGGAGGAGGAGGAGGGACGAGGAGGAAGACGAGGAGGAAGACGAGGAGGAAGACGAGGAGGAAGACGAGGAGGAGGAGGAGGAGGAGGAGGGAGGAGGAGGAAGGAGGAGGAGGTGGAGAGGAGGAGGAGGAGTGAGGAGGAGGAGGAGGAGGAGGAGGAGAGGAGGAGGAGGTGGAGGAGGTGGAGGAGGAGGGGAGGAGGAGGAGGAGGAGGAGGAGGAGGAGGAGGGGAAGAGGAGGAGGAGGAGGACGAGGAGGAGTAGGAGGTGGAGGAGGAGGTACGACTCGATTGCCATTTGTACCCAGTACCCAAGAGGAGGAGGAGGAGGAGGAGAAGAAGGAGGATGAGGCGGAGAAGGAGGAATCGGAGGAGGATCGCACGCCTTCGATGACGAGTCAGCTCTCACTCTGACGAATCGGAAGCAAGCAGACCGCGTCCATGCATTTTGGGCGGGGGTTGGCTCGCCAGGCGAGGAGAGGATGAAGAGGCTTGGGGAAGCGGCATGGAAAGGAAGAGTAGGAGGAAGAGGAGAGGAGGGGGTGGAGGAGTTGAGGGGGAGGAGTTCAATAGGTGTGGGGAGGAGGGAGGATGATGGGGAGGAGGAGGATGAGGTGATCGAGGAGGAGGTGGAGGAGGAGGAGGAGGAGGAGGAGGAGGAGGAGGAGGAGGAGTAAGAGGAGAAGGAGGAAGAGGAGAAGGAGGAGGAGGAGGGGAGGATACAGAGGAGGAGTTCAAGGGGAGGAGAGGGGACAAGGAGGAGTGGTGGTGGTAGTGGGGGGGAGGGGGGGCGAGTGGGAGGTTGGGGCTTGCGTCGCTCCGCGCCTCCGTGCGCCGTGCCGATTTCCCGCGCGACTGGCCCGCGCGTGAGTCAGCATCTGTATCGCCTGGATGGTGCCGTGGTGTCAACCGTGCTGCGGAGGCCTCGGGAAGAGAGCACGAGCTGCGACCTTTCGCACCACAGCATCGTCATGGAGAGGAGGAGGAGGAGGAAGAGGAGGAGGAGGAGGAGGAGGAGGAGGAGAAGGAGACGGAGGAGGAGGCGGAGGAGGAGGAGGAGGAGGAGGAGGAGGAGGAGGAAGAGGATACAGAGGAGGAGGAGGAGGAAGAGGATACAGAGGAGGAGGAGGCGAAGGAGGAGGAGGATGAGGCGGAGGAGGAGGAGGAGGAGGAGGAGGAGGAGGAGGCGGGGAGGGGGAGGAGGGGGAGGAGGGGGAGGGATGAGGATGGGGGAGGGACGAACGATGATGCTGATGATGATGATGATGCTGATGATGATGATGACGATGATGATGCTGATGATGATGATGGTGATGGTGATGGTGATGGTGATGATGATGCCGATGATGATGATGATGATGATGATGATGATGATGATGATGATGATGGTGATGATGATATTGATGATGATGATGATGCTGATGCTGATGCTGATGCTGATGACGATGACGATGACGATGACGATGACGATGATGATGTGGTGATGATGACGACGATGATGACGGTGATGATGATGATGATGATGATGATGATGATGATGATGATGATGATGATGATGATGATGATGATGATGATGATGTTCATGTTGCTGATGATGATGAAGAGGAGAAGGACGAGGAGGGGGGTTGAGGAAAGGAGGGGAGGAGGAGGAGGAGGAGGAGGAGGAGGAGGAGGAGGAGAAGGAGAAGGAGGAGGAGTAGGAGGAGGATGAGGATCGGGATGACCAGGAGGACGAGGAGTCATGTGGCTCCAGGGCGCCTTCACCCTACGTGTGGGCCCCGCTTTCTGGCGGCACCACCCTCGGGGCACCGCGATCGCAAACGCCCAGCTGGTTGAGCAGGAGGGGAGGGCGCAAGGGAAGTTGGGACGGGCCCTCCGCATCCTCATCCACCTCCGTCTTCTCCTCAGCCCTCTTGTCCTCCTCCTCCTCCTCCTCCGCCTCCTCGCACCTGGCCCTCCTCTCCCATTCTCCTCTTACGCACAGTCAAGACGTCAAGACGCTGAAAGAAGGACCACTTTGAAGCCAGGAGGTGCTATGGTTTCTGGGCCGTCCCTTCGATCTCGGTCGGGGACCTATTCGTAGCCGAGGCTTGTGGTGGCCAGAAGAGCTCCTTCGCTCCTTCTGTAGCTTGATGACTGTATCCCTCCTCCTCCTCCTCCTCCACCGGGGCGTGGAAGGGCCACCAAGCTGGGCAACCCATGCTGCACAAGAGCTTCGATGCGACCAATGCCTTCGGCTGCGGCGACAAGGATCAGATCGAGCATGGCGTCCGCCTCCGTTTGGAGACGGCAGCCGAGGAGGTCGAGGAGGATGACGTGGACTACGTGACGACGATCTCCAGGCTCAGGCGCCAGTCGCTGACGGTGGTCATCTCGGGTTCGGACCACGAGGTGGCGATCGCCAGCGGCTCGGGGGGCTTCATGGGCGACACCTCCGAGCCCGAACTCTTCATGAGCAACTACCACATTGCGGTCCAGAAGTGGGCCCTCGTGGACCAGGCGGCCACTGGCGAGGCGATGATGATCAACTTCGATGACCGCCTGCCGACGATAGACGCGAGCCTGGGGTGCTTCATGGATGACATCTTCAAAACGCAGCTCGTCCCGCCCACCGCGCGCACGGCCCAGGATTTTTGTGCGGTGCTCTCAGCGGAACGACGCAGGTCTCGACGCTGCGCTGGCTGCGCGGCAGTACGGCCAGAACCGAGCGAAGCAGGACGTAGTTGTCTCGTTGGGTTCACGGCAGCTGGTCCGCCAGACCATCCAGGCCCTGGCCAGGAGTGGGTGCCGCAGCGGCTACGAGCTCAAGCACCTGGGGGGCTGGTTCAACGCGGTGAACTCCAACGCGACGGAGCTGGCCATGCGCCTAGCGGCGATCAACAAGGGCTGGATGATGGTGCAGGGCTTCTGGTACTCCTCCGCCCCCAAGCGCGTCAAGCGCCTCATGTTCATCAGCCTGGTGTCGGGGGCGGCCTTGTCGGGCACCACGGCCTACTGCTGGACCGACTCGGAGGCTCGCCAAATTTGCAGTTCTTTGTCACGCAAGTTGAGGTCGATGATGGGGGGAACGTCTCACATGCATAACGATCACGTGAAGGTGATGACTACTAGAGAAGTCTACAGGTTCTGGAGCCTCGTCCCGTTCAGCCTGGAGGCGCTGGTCCAGCGCCTCCGCATGTGGCAGGCTATTGCGCGCAGCCCTCGACAACATAGCCACGTCCTGGGCGTCTTCTTCGGGGAAATGAAGTGGGAGCTGACTAGTGAGTACAGATGCCCACCGACGCTAGTGGAATCTGGGCAGTTCAATTCCGATGCTGTTATTCATCCTTGGGCGCGTCAGTTGCGACGCGATCTCGAGGCCCTCTGCGACCACCCAGAGGCGGAGTACTTTTCGCTGGTCTGGGAGAGCCGCTCGATGAGGGACCTGCTGTGGGACGAGGAGGTGAACGGCCTCTTTGTCTCCCTTGACGTAAGGTGCTTGCGGAGCGCCTTTGCTGCTGTACAGTGGGCACCGCCTGGAGCGATCGTGGCATCGGTACCCACAGCCCTGGATGATGAAAACAGCTGGGAGGACCCAGAGGCCCAGAAGCTCACGTGTCAAATTCGAGGAGATCCCGAAGGCCCCATATGTGGTTGCTCGTTCCGTTCGCGCGCAGCACTGGTGGCACATGTTTGTCAATCTAGACAGCCTGGTCATGGGGGGCACAGTATATTCCACGCTCTCACACCGAGCAACGCATGTATCAACTGTGGCACAATATTCCAGACAAGAACGGAGACGGTACGGCACCTTGCACGCGCGTGGCACGCTGGCAGATGTATCATGCACAACACGGCGTACCCCTACGAGTTCACAGGTACGAACGTTCGTGAATGTGCATTGTGTGGCGCAGAGTTCCCTTCGTACGAGCTGCTCCGTAGTCATCTTCGCTCACACCTGCCGCCGACGCAGGAGGGCCGTTCTATTTCGATTGTGCAACCTCGACCAGCCCCAGTTGTCCCGAGGCCGAGACGTCGTGATCCGCTTCCGCGGGGGGCTCGCCTGCGGGGCTCTGACTTGCGCACGGCGGCCCGCCTGTTCGTCCCCGCGGCCGCTGGAGGTGCGGCTGCCCGCGCTGCAGCCGCTCCTGCTGGTGGTGCTGCAGCTCGTGATGGAGGTCGAGAAGAAGGGCCGCTGGCGCCCGCAGGTGGCGGCCTCCTCGGCCAGCTCGCGGACTGGTGGAGCGCAGTCCAAGCCCGCCGACAGCGACAACCGCAAGAGCCAGAAGGACAGCAAGGGCACCAGGCTGGCGCGGGGCGACGCGGGCTTGGAGGGCGCCGCAGCGAAGCCGAAGACACGTCGTGGCGGACGGCGCCGCGCGGAGGCCAAGGAGCGTAAGCTCACGACGAAGGACGCAGGCCTCAAGGACCTCCTCCTGCACCTCTCCATGCTGGTGTCGCAGCTGGCGCAGAGGTCTCGAGCGATGTGGGGCATCACCACGCGCACAGCGATCCTGGTGGACAAGTCGCCAGTGACCAAGGCGACGCAGCAGGAGGGCCAGGACTTCGCGCAGGTGGCGAACCAGAAACGCGCGGAGGTCAGCAGGCTGAAGGGCCAGGCCAAGGCGGCGAAGGACACGGACGGAGCAGCGGCCCGCCAGTTCGACCAGGAGACCGACAAGATGATGGAGGGACTCCGCGGCTTGGGCCCTCCAGCGCCCGCGGTATTCTGCGCCATGATCGAGGCGCTGGCGAACGAGGAGATCGGCAAGAGGCTCAAAGACGTCCTGGTCGCACTCCTGGCCGAGATGGAGGAGGCGCCACCCACCTACGTTCGCCTGTGCCGCCTGGAGAGCTGCAAGCAGCCCGACATGCTGAAGGTGGTGTTCGCGCTGGACCGTGTGGACCTCGAGGTGCAGGTGATGGAAGCGTTTCGCTCGATGGGAGTAGTGACGACGGTGGGAGCGGCGCCGAGTGGGTACCTCGAGGACGAAATCTCGGCTTGGATCGACGTGCTGAAGGACGCCTGAGTGTAGGCGCCCCAGAGACAAGTTCAGAGGCCGAGGATGAAGATGAAATCCTTTTTGAGGCCTGGCTCTAGTGAGTTTGGGTTCGGAGGGCGCGGGCACCGCGCCGTAGCCATTGAGCTTCGGCAGTGCGGCCTCGTGCACCTGGCAGTGTGACGCACTCTCGATGGGTGCGGACGGCGGACGCACGCTTAGGATGGCCCCCTGCTCCTTTTCGCCTCCCTCTTCGCCCCTCGCCTTTCGTGGCCCCTGCCCGTCGCTCGTGGCCTCCTCTGTTCGGCCCCCCCGGTCGGCCCCTTCGGCCTGCTCGGTCCCTCGTGTAGGTGCAGCTTGAGCTTCCTGAGGCACGAAACCAGTCAGTGGAGCAGTCATTCTGATCTCTCGTCACACAGCCGCTCACAGACAGACTCCTCCTCCTCCTCCTTTTCTCCATTCTCTTCATCATTGTCCCTCTCCTCCCCCCCCTCCTCCTCCTCCTCCTCCTCCTCCTCATCCTCATCCTCCTCCTCCTCCTCCCGACCCTCTTCTGACTGTCCTCCTGGCACACCCCTCCCGGCGCGGTGTCTCTCGCCCCGCCGCCCCGACCCCGCAGGGCGCGGGAACAGCTGGTACTGCCGCTGCTGCTGGACGCGGTGGGCCGAGGAGGGCCCCCCGCTTCCGTCAGACCGGGGGGGGCGACAGGGGCGAATGGCCGTGCGTCGCGGAAAAAAACATTCAGAGAAAGCCTTGGCTTCAGATTGAACGGCTGTCTACGGTCCAAAACATGAACACACTCATTCGCTTCGATCCCCTTTCGCTCCATATTCGAGAGGAAGCAGTGCACGCGGGTCGCTGAAAGTAGGTATCTTTAGGGGAACGAAAAAACATGTAAACATAAAAACTCGGAGGTCCGCGTGGATCTCTCGGATCCTGGACCCCTTGGCGGTGCCTCCGGCGACGCCCCTGGCGCGCTCCGCGCGCCAGGGGCGGGAGTCCGGCGCGGATCCAAGAAATCCGCGCGGACCTCCGAGTTTGTATGTTTATGTCATGTGTCGTCCCCCTCATTTTGGGATACCCAGATCCCGATCTACTCCTCGGCGCCGTCCTGCTTCGGGAGTCGAGCGGGCTTCCCTCTGCCCTCCTGTTCAGGGGGGAGGGCGGAGAACCGATCTATTACGTCCAACGCCTTCCTGCTTCATGCGTCTGCCTTTGAGTCGGGCTCCCTTTGCTGGAGGAGAATTCCAGAATAGTCCAAAAATAGTATGGGGACGATTTTCCTTTGTGCTTTTTTGACTATTTCAAATACTTTTGGAGCATTTATCACTGTTGCCCAACATCCGCTTGTAGGAGGACATGCCCGACCTAAGTGTACACACTTATTGCAGTGGCCTCCGGCCAGTGCCGCCGATCCGGGGTGCTACCTATTCTGCTTGCAACGGATGACCTTGTTATGTTTAAAAGTAAAGCATTCGCTCGAGACATCCTCATAAGATAGAGATCTTGAACTCGCTTGGGCAACCTTCGGATATTCGAAAGTGACGATCTCGCATGAACAGCCAAACTCATGGGATGTTGACGTAGCTGATGTATGACACCTTTGGGGGGCGCTCCTGGGCTTCTCGTTTTCTTTGTTGAGGCATCCTGGAGGCTTCTTGGGGGCGCGCTGGAGGCAGTTTTTGAATCTCTTGGGGGCGTTTGGGGGGGCCTCCTTGGAGTTTTTTGGGCCCTTTAGTTTTGGGCCGTCTTGGAGCCCTCTTCGGGCGTGAATTGCGTCAGCCATGGCGTCGGCCCTCCGCCCCCCCCTCTCCCGAGCCTGAATGGCGTCAGCCATGGCGTCAGCCCCCCCTCCCCCCCGACAGAGTGGAGCTTGAGCGAGCTCCCCCCCCCCTCCCTCCTCCCGGGGTTCTGGCCAGCAGGACGTGCGGGTGGGTTCGAAGTGCTGGGTTCGGGAGGGAGGGTCTCTGCTGTCGTTCTCGGCCTCCGGGGGCCGTTTTCGGTCCCTGCATGGGGCCGCCGAAAACGGATCCGCGGTGAAAAACTGGATCAGAATCCCACCCTACAGGAAAAGACTATGTGGCCCTGCTTCGCCGAGCAGCGGTAGAGGAGGAGGAGGAGGAGGAAGAGGAGGAGGAGGAGGAGGAGGAGGAGGATTAGCAGGAGCGGTGCCATTTCCTCTTCTGCCCTCCGGATTTCCCCGCCGAGTCGCTCGGGCTCCGACGGGCGTCGTGAAGTATCCGGCGCTGCAAGTCTGCAAGATCTCTCGGAGAGAGGACAACTGATGTCGCAGCGAGGGCCCTTCAGTCGGGCACCTGATTAAGAACCCCCCCGAAAAGCTGGACCAGCGTTTCTTGACCAGCTTGCAGGGAAGCTGGCAAAGTTTCTTGAGCACGTTCGCCCTCTCCAGCGTTAACAGCACATGTTGATCCAGACGTGTTTTCAGACAAACTCTTGGAAGTTGGCCCAGGTTTCTCATATGATCTTGTTATTGATTGTATTTAATTGAACGCCCCTGAGGGGGCAGTCACCGCCGCCCCACTATTCTCGGAACGCGGAGTTTGTGGGAGGGGTCCAGGACGGCCCGAGAGTGTCCAAAAAGACATGGAAAAGGTCCCAAGAAAGGCCCCCAAGAGGGCCCCAAGAGGCTCCGACAACGGCCCAACAGGGCACCCAAGGGTGTCGAAAGCAGCGGACGAAACCGAAGAGGGATACGGAGAGGCAGAGAGGAGCACTCCGACGAGTTTCTGGGGCCTCAGAAGCGCCTCTGGGGACCCCCTGGGCGCGCCCAAGACGGCCCAAAAAAGCACCAAAAGTGCGGCCAGATGGCCCAAGACGGGTCTGGGAGGCTTTTAGGACGGCCCAACAGGGCTTGGAGACATTCCAACGTGGTCGGAGAGGCCCCAAGAGCGGCGCAAGATGCTGCACGAGAGCTCCAAGAGGCGCGAAGAGGAGGCCAAACCTGTGAAAATCATCAAAATCCCTGACGTGCTTGAAGGTTTTTGGCTTCTTCAGGTTTTTCGGCTGAACATGCCTCGAAGAGGGCTTCGGAGGGGTCCGAGACGGCCCTGGAGGGCCCCAAGAAGGTGCCAAATGAACCCAAGAGGGGTCCAACAGGGGCCGAAGACTGCCCAGGAGGGCTTCTGGAGAGGTCTCAAACGGCGCCCGGAGGGGTCCGGAAGTCTACCGTGCGAAGGCCTGCTTGAGTTTAAGGCAAAATGGCCGCCAGCGGACGCCTGGGGCGCAGCCCGGGCCCCTGGGCCTGCGGAAGGAGCAGCCCGCGGGGAGGACCCCAGGAGCGGTTGCCAGGGCTCTGAGGAAAGGGCTTGGTACGAGGAGTGCGAGGGCAAGGGGACTGAGGAGAAAGAATTCTTGCAGACCACGCGGCGGGGATCTCACTCGCCGTACCTGGTGGGGCGGCGGATTGCTTCGCTCATTCCGCCGGCCCATATTGCTTCGCCGCTGTCTTTTGTCGGGGTGTTGTTGTCAATGCAGTGGTGTTGGGCGGCTGCCATTTTTCGGAGGCGGTGGGTGGTGGGTCAGAGGCCTCATGGATGTTGGTTGGGCTCTCGTGGTTGGCCTCTCGGGGGCGTCTTGGAGGCAGTTTTGAGGCCTCTTGGGGGCCGTGTTGGGGCCTCTTGGGTGCTTCTTGGGGTGCCTCTTGGGGGCTCCTTTCGGGGGCCTCTTGGGGGCCTCCTGGGGCCTCCTGGGGGCCTCTTGCGGCTGAAGGCTGGACTTTTCAGTTCCTGGTGCCCGTCTTAAGCCCCTCTTGGGGCAGTTTTGGGGCCCTCTTGGGCCGTCTTGGGCGCTTCTTGGACTGTCTTAGGGCCATCTTGGGTTGTCTTGGGGCCCTCTTGGGCTCTCTTGGGCCCATCTTGGAGACGTGTTGGGCCGTCTTGGGACGATGTTGGAGGCCTCTGGAGCAGTTCTGTTCGCTGTGAACCCCCAAACATCGCACATGTGAAACAGATACGTCTTCCGAAAAGAATGGGACGATTTTTGCCTGTTGGGGCCCTCTTGGAGAGCCTCTTGTGGCCCTCTTGGGGCTTCTTCGCGGCCTTTGGGGCTATCTGGAGGCCATCTTGAGCGTCTTGGAACGATCTTGCAGCGACTCGGGGCCTCTTGGGCTGTGTAAGGGAGCGTCCTGGCGCCCTCTTGGCGCGCCCTGGAGCGCCCCGGGGAAGTCAGCCGGGCATCGCCCAGGCATCGCCCTGGCATCGGCCAGGGCACTATTCGTCCAGGGGTCCCTAGGGGCCGCCACGCGCGCGCGAAGTAGAAATATCGTTAACCTGTTACCGGAGATCTTAGCACGCCTCTTGCCCGTTGGGCTGGCGAACTTTCGGCTGTAATCCAGGCTGCAATTTTCGGCTGGGATTTTCGGCAGGAGGACGAGGAAGAAATTGGATGAGGAGGACGAGGAGGACGACGACCGCGGCAGCGATGAGGAGGAGGAGGAGGAGGAGGAGGAGGAGGAGGAGGAGGAGGGTAGGAGGAATGGGAGGAGGAGGAGGAGGAGGACGAGGAGGAGGACGAGGAGGAGGACGTGGAGGAGGAGGAGGCGGAGGAAGGGGAGGGGGAGGAGGAGGGGATGATCGGCACCACGACGAGGTGTGTCGAGTGGCAGCCCCCCCAGAAGCCAGCGCGATGCAGCGGGGGAAGACACGAGCTGGCCGGAAGTTTCATAGGATTCGCAGTCTTCCCCGTCTATCGCATTCAGGGTTTCTTAATAAGCGTGGGGGGGTATCGGAGGTTGATAGACCTCCTACCCTGACACGTCGATTAGTGAATTGGCCGTTCTCGGTTCGCGAGAGGGCGTCGCGGCCGTCATTTTTGCAGGTCCAGGTCCGTCGGTTTCGGTCCTAGGCCTTTTTCACTAAATGGAGGTTTACTACAGGGAGGTTTGTCCACCGCCGAGGGTACCCCTCCGACGGGGGTCAACCTCGCCTCGTCGTCGCGCTGCGACGCGGGTCGGAGCGCCTTCGGCGCGCGGTGGTTGCCCTCGACGGGTGTCGATGTGGGGCTGTCGGCGGGGGTGACGCCCTTCCGACGCTCAGTAAGAAACTCGGAGTCTGTTTGTTGTCTGCGTCTGCTCTCGGGAGACAACATTGTCGCACATGCTGGTGCTCGAATCTGCTGGCCAGCCGCAAAGGACGAAGCGGCAGCTGCTGTTTACCAAGAGGACCCTCTTTTGACCTCGCTGCGGAAGCATCGGTCACAGCAAAGTGCGCATCCATGCGAATCTGAAGATATGCCCGCGCCACGTGTGTGCGTGTCATGACGGGCTCGACGAAGCTTGCGTGTCGCAGGGAGCTTGGCCAATGCACACGTGCAGGGAGGGTGGAGCAGGGCAAACCAGCAGAACGAGGTGAGAAGGTTGGCATCCATGCTTAATCGTCGCTGCCACTCGCACGTGCAAGTGTGTGGCCACTCCTCGGGTCCACAGACGGCGCTCCATGGCTAGACATGCCAAGGAACAAGCGTGCGGCGAGCTGCGCAGCATTATCTCGTCCTTTTCCTCCGCCTTCCGCCGTGTCCGTCCTCCCCGCCCCCCATCCTCTTCTCGTTCCTCCCTCTTCCCGGCTTCCTCCTCACGCTCCTGCTTCCGTTGCCGTTGCTCCTGGTCCGCATCCTTCTGCCCTCTATGAGGAACATCGTTTCGGAAGTTTTGCAAGCACCATACCCGGCGCAGTTTCGCAAGAGGTCCTTAGGAGGCTAATTTAATGGATTCCCTTTGCGTGTTGGAAGGGTTGTGGCATCCTCGCTATTTCGGGCACCCGTCGGCGCAAAAAGGCTTCTAGGAGTTCTCCAATATTGCCCCAGGACTGCGCGCGATGGGCCCAATAAGAGGACCCCAGCGGTCCTCCGGAGGTACCCTCGACGGCTCGACGACTCAAGAGGGCCACGACACGTCACCACAACGGCCCGGACAAAAACATCAGCATCAGCAAAAGAGAGATAGAACAATTAGAAACAAAAAGAGAGGGGGCGCCCACCGACAGCCGCCCACCGAGAGCCGTCCACCGAAATCGGCCAGCTACTTTCGCAATCTTTTGAGGGGGCGCCCACCGAAAGCCGCCCACCGAGAGCGGCCCACCGAATTCGGCCAGCCATTTTCGCACATCTTTTCTATGTCTGCTAGCACCCATTCAGTGTAAACACTGATTGAGGAACATCGAGTTCCGACGTAAGTCCGACGTGCATCCGACGTAAGTCCGACATTGAGTCTCAAGTTGCTACGCGAGGCTTCCAGAATGTTCAGAATATTCTCGTTTTCCCTCACCTTCGTTCGGATCATACTGCTCCTTGTTATCCGTAAGGGCTTCGCCCCTTGCCGCCGGCCCCCTCTCTCGGAGAATGGGCCATGGAAGAGCGAAGTCATGAGGCTTTGGCTTTGCCGTGAAGCAGTGTCGGGACCTATTTGTTTTTCGACCCTGACCCTGCTGATCTGCGTGAGGGGTGCCGCCGAATTTCAGACATGTGGCAAATCCTTTCTGTTTTTGGACTCTGACCCTACGGATCTGCGTGAGGGGTGCCACCGAATTTCAGAAATGTTTCAAATCCCATGTGTTTTTGGACTCTGACCCAGCCGATCTGTGTGAGGGGTGCCACCGAATTTTAGAAATGCGGCAAATCCCTTGTGTTTTTGGACCCTGACCCCGCCGATCTGCGTGAGGGGTGGCAGGAAATTTCAGAAATGTAGCAAATCCTTTATGTTTTTGGACCCTGACCCCGCCGATCTGCGTGAGGGGTGCCACCGAATTCAAAACATGCGGCAAATCCTTTGTGTTTTTGGACCCTGACCGCGCCGATCTGCGTGAGGGGTGCCACCGAATTTTAGAAATGTGGAAAATATTTTGTGTTTTTGGACCCTGACCGCGCCGATCTGCGTGAGGGGTGCCACCGAATTTTAGAAATGCGGACAATCTTTTGTGTTTTTGGACCCTGACCCCGCCGATCTGTGTGAGGGGTGCGAGGAAATTTTAGAAATGTGGCAAATCCTTACCCTGACCCCGCCGATCTGCGTGAGGGGTGTTAGTTTTCGACCCCCCCAGGAATTCTGAGAACCCTCCCGGGAGACGCTAACCAGGGTGGTTTTCGGCTCGCCCCCCTCGCGCGGACAGTAACAATTTACAGTAGGACGCAGAAAGCAGCATTGTAACAATGGAAACTGGAAACTGGAACTGGTGCAGGGAGCAGCAAGCTTAAGCCTCGCAGCCTGATGGCCCCGCAAGGGGGCCGGCGGATCCGCGTTTCTTTCTCATCGCCTTCTTCCT